GGGGGAAAGGCGAGTTCCCCCTCTCCGGAAATAGCCGAGCGTTCTCGGAGCCGCTCGGGCGCTTTCGGCTCATGGAGGCTCCGGGTTGCTGCGGGCTGTGCCAGGCCGAGCGGCCGCCCTACACCTGCCCGCGCTGCCACATCCGCTTCTGCTCCGTGCCTTGCTACCGGGAGCACGACTCCTGCGCCCGGGACTTCCAGACGCGAGAGTTGGAACTTCGGCTCCGGGGCCAGCGGGGGGATGCGGCGACCCGACGCCGCCTGAGGGAGGCCCTTCTCCGGCTGCAGGAACTACGCGAGCCCGGGGATGCAGACCCCGAGCTAGGCCTCGACCCGCAGGCGGAAGACCTGTGGGGGCAACTAACCTCTCAGCAGCGCCAGAGGTTCCAACAACTGCTGAGCAGCGGGAAGATTTCGGGGGTCCTGCCCCCCTGGCAGCCCTGGTGGGTCATAGCCAGCCAGGGGCCACCCCTGGTCCAGATGCTTGGAGCTAAGGATGCCCAGGATTCGCACCAGCAGCAGCAGCAGGGAGCCAAGCAAGATCTGGAGGCTTCATCCCAGCTTCCAAAGGAAGAGACTGTCGCAGGGGACCAGAATCTGCCTCCTGCCCAGGATTCCAACTCGCTACCTGCCCAGGATTCCAACTCGCTACCTGCCCTGCCTGATGCAATCCGCCCCTTGAGCAACTTCACCAGCGTCCCCATCTCCCCCCTGGTGCGCTTCCAGCTGCCCAATGTCCTCTACGCCTACGCCTACGCGCTGTCGCTCTACAACGGAGAGGCGGACGATGTCCAACTGCTGCCCGAAGTCTGCGAGACCCTCCTGGACCTCTCGGCCGTGCTGGGTGCCCAGCGGGTCTTCTCCTCCACGGGGGAGGCCCTGCAAGCCGCCATGCAGGCCGTCGTGGAGAGCCGCTACCCGGAGTGCCCGCTGGGAAAGGCCGGGGCAGTGCAGGCTGTGGGTCAGATTTTAAGGGGGGGCAGCCTGGAGAAGCGGAACCGGTTCACCCTGGCGGCCCTCGCCCACCTGTCCAGGCTGTTGGGTCAAGGCAAGCGGTGGGTGGCCCCCAAGGACCAGCCCAGGATCTACAAGGCTAAGAAGAAATGCGAATTCCTGCTTTCCTGGGTGAATGAGAACCAGGAGGAGCTCCCCTCCCTGGCTTTGGAAGTCCAGAGGGAATACATAGCCCATGTGGTGGAGGCCAAGGAAGTGGGCGCGATCACTCAGGAGCTGGAGAAGATGTGGGGAGGGAAAGTTCCCCCTTCCAAACAGCTTCTGATAGAAGAATTGGACTGAAGCACAAACACACACCCCTTGCAAAGGATCAGGTGGAAATTGTGGGACAGGAGAGGGCCTGGGGGAGAAGAGGGCGGTGGGCTTTGGATCGCAACACGGGGTCTCAGGACCTGAAGTCTAAACGTGAAGGTGAGAAAGGAACAGGTTAGGTTTGTTTTTCTCCTCCCCCTAAACTGGACATGGATTGGTGGCAACAATGGGAGAGTTGTAATTAAAAATGCAAGACTAGGAATCCTTGAGTTTGTGTCTTGTTTTGTTTCCTGCTTCCTTTTAACCTGGTTGACACACAGAGATATGTTTACTTGGGAATCGAGAGTGAAATCAAAGTGCAGTGATAGTCTTGGCAACTTTAAGATGTGAGACTTCAACTCCCAGAATTCCCCAGCCAGCATGGTTGGCTGGGGAATTTTGGGAATTGAAGTCCAAATGTCTTAAACCATGCTGGCTGGGGAACTATGGTCATAAGTCAAGGACTACCTGTACAGTATTAGTTTTAATATTTAAAACAAATATTCAGAGACAGATCTAGTATCTAGTGCCGCTCAACAACTTCATGTTTCCCCAAACGATGCAGAGGAGAAACATTGCAAAAATTACATTCCAAATCCAATAGGCTTTTTCATCACCTTTATTTCCTTGCTCAATCTCCTTTCAAATCATTGCAGAAGCCAGTAATTCCTTCATTGTGGAACTACCAGAGCAGGGGTGTCAAACTGCCAGCTCGTGGGCCGGATGCGTCATGCCAAAACCGTGTCCACCCCAGCTCCAGCAATGGGGAAAAAGTCACCATACGTCGTGACATGTCACGTGACGTGGCGAGTTTGAGGATCCCAAGAGAGCAAGTCAGGTTCAGGGCTCCATGTTGGGTCACCTCAAGATTCCTTTCCTTGCATTATTTTCTCTCTCTTGTTGCAATACAGATAGTCCTCAACTTACAATACGACAATCTAATGACCATTCATAGTTAGAACAGCCCTGCAAAAAGTGATTCATGACCATTTTTCATACTTACAACCATTGCAGCATCCCCAGGGTCACGTGATCAGAATTCAGACTCTTGGTAACTGGTTCATATTTATGACAGTTGCAGTGTCCTGGGGTGATGTGATCCCCTTTTGCGACCTGACAAGCAAATTCAATGGGGAAACTAGATTCGCTTAACAACTGTGTTGCTAACTTAACAGCTGCAGTCGTTCACTTAACTGTGGCAAGAAAGCTCGCTTAACAAATTTGTCAGTTAGAAATTTTGGGCTTTATTGTTATTAATGTGACTCAGAGAAATCCCCTTCAAAAAAGATTTAATTGCTAGCTAGAAATAAAACAGTTCACTATTTCCCATTACAAAGAATATGAATATTCTTCCCAGCATCCAATATTTGCTGTTCAAGAGCAAAAAACACAAATAGTTTGAGTTTTAAATGTTATTTTTTT